ATTTTATCTGCCTATATTTTAGCCGCACAGCGTATCAAAAAATGCCATGATAACAATAAAACACCAATAAAATTGTTGGGTCGTGTAACTTTGTTTTCCAGGGATAATTATTGGTCTATGGTAATGGGTTTTTATAAAACATTGAGGCTATAGTGATTTTAAGATTTCAGTCAATCTATCAACATAAATCATTTTTAAAAACGATCCAAGTGACAAAAATAGTTAATAGGCACTAGTTCCAATATTACATTTATTTTATATTTTTATAAAACCATTTTTAAGGACTATTATCCTTATTCTTAGTATAAAAATTTCAATAACTAAAAAACTACTCATTCGAATTTTAAATTAAGTATACATCAACATTTTCAAAAACATTACCTACTAAATAATTTACTGTAAAAAGAGGAGGGGGTTCTCATTCGTAAAAGAAAAGTTTGTATCTCCGCAGGACATTATTGAAGAACAGTACAAAAAATAAAATCAAGAATTTGAAAAAACTGTGTAAATAGGTATATTTGAAAATTCTGAAAATCAGAATTTAAATAAATTAATTACTAAAGGAAACAAATTTGGATGAGCTTGCTTGATGAATCGCACTGTATATACACATTATACACACATAATACTATGTATAATGTAGGTGCATTCAAAAATACCATTTCAAATTTTTAAAGTTTACCTTTCAAAAATAATAGACACACATTGCAGGGTTACACAAAAGCGTTGGAACAAATTCCAAACATCTAAATTAGTTTNTCAAATTTTTAAAGTTTACCTTTCAAAAATAATAGACACACATTGCAGGGTTACACAAAAGCGTTGGAACAAATTCCAAACATCTAAATTAGTTGTACACAGACACGAAAAAAAAAACGAAACGAAATCGTTATTACGGCGTGTTAGTATTAACGCTTGCAGTATAAAACACGTAGGAATATATTATATACGTAGGGTATTCAATACACGCGGACAAAATGTTTTTAGACTCGAAACAATTACTCCGGCGGCGGTCCGATACGTATATAGGAAGCACCCGAAGCACGCCTAAACCTCTCCGAATATGACCCTTGAGTGGGTATATTAATATAATCTATGGATTGGAACGGATTGACCGACGCGGGAAAGATCATTAGTTATGTGGTTGTTAATTCGTTGTTCGTACGCAGTCGTTTGTATATAATAATGATAATAATAATAATATTAATAATATTATTATGTTTTGTTTTGTTTTTAATTTAAAATTACCATTGTGGCGCAAGTGGACGGCTGTAAACTTAAAATATATGACGTGTATATGTGTGTTCGTTTCTTATACAGGAACCATTCTACTGGATAAACGAAACGAGTATCTAGTGACTAGTTTATAGGTTTAAATAATAAGCGCCTACTGCATAATATAACGTGTAATTTTCGTGTTTGATTTCGTGTCCGATGTGTAAGAGATATTATAAATATTATTTTTTTTTTTTATCACCATGATAAACGTTTCACAAGTAAGACGAACGCACGCGACCACTATATATATATATATAAATAATATTATAAGCTTTTGATGAAAACCGAATGGTCTATCGTCGAGTTGGGCGTTTTCGTCTTATTAACGTTCGGTCATAATATTATTATGTACGTGTAGCAGATAGACGTCGGTCTACGCTATTATTATTATTTTATACCTGCGCACACATCATCATAATATTATTATTAATATCTATCGCCGCTTTCGTCTWGAACGGTGGCCACAGCCCAACGCTTGGACCACACGTTTACTTTATTATAAGTTAGTCTTTTTTATCTATGCCGTGAATAATAAGTATAAAGATAAATAAACGGTGTAGATTTATCATTAATCATATCCGATTTGTCTATTGTTGATGTGATGAATACTAACCTAGGTAAATKATGTGCATCTATACATCTTACAGTTGTACAATATGCGTACACCCACTGACCCACTAAGGTGTACATACATAAAGTATTATATTACTATTTACTACGATAATACACTATCCCCGGATGATTTCCACTTTAATTTCAATTAGTTATGATCATAATAATTATTTTTATCGGCGGCGGTGTGATTAGCATTGAAATTTTGGAATTAGCTGGATTTTAAAATATCCATAATTGTATAGACTCTCTMTGAATACTTCATATAATCTTAATAATACTGTTAAATAATATGTTGAATGGTTTATCTGGAACAAAAATAATAAAAAGTTTAGTTATAGGGTTTCGTGGGCGTGTTTTTTTGAAACCGGGTGTAGGTATTTTCAGCGATCCAGATTTAATTAAAATCACGGTTGCATACGAATATATTATAAACTATTGTGATCATATTATAGCCATTTTGATCGAAATTCGATTGATATTTAATTTATTATAATACAACGATCTCTCAACGATATAGGTGTAGGTACCGTAATGTATAATGGCTGGTGTTTTTGTTATCTGCAGCTGCAGGCCAATAAATAGAATATGTACCAACGTGTAAAGTTCCAAACTATATATGTATAGTGCCGAAAGATCCCTAAACTGAGGTTTTTTTTTACAAGAAAACAATAAACGAGGGGAGGGAATCAATACGAATACATTTATTAATTTATCTACGTGGGAGATTCGGCCTCAGAACTTATAGGTACCTACTCGTATTAGGTCTTAATTTCCAACTTAATTAATTTTATTTTAAAACAAACCAATTAAACTCGATTTACTGATCTGATTTTTAAAAAGCTATCAATATAATATTCTACGTAGTTATCGTTAGTAAATAATATTTTTGATTTTCATTATTTTTTCTTTGTTTTTTAAATATGTAAACACTAAATAAGTAAAATATTTATTGTTTTGCCGTCATAATTATTTAATATACTTTATAGTTTAATTTATAATCTCTCTTGCCTATATGTTTTAATGAATTAAAGTTTTTTGAAATTCCTTACCAACGTGTGGCTATAATAATTGACATTGTGAAAAAATACTTCGACTATTTCARTATTAAGATAAGTGAGATTCTTGAAATGCATAATCATGAACCATCCTTAGAAAATCTAAAAATTATGTTGATTTAATACTTGGAATATACTTATAATGCTGCATGTTTATAATATCAATATCTCTTTAATAACTTTTGTGACATTCATATATTTTAATACCCCTGTTGATTTCTTAAACTCAATCGAATTTTT